TCTATGAAGCGCCTTGAGGCGACTTTTGTTGTGATTTGGCGCTATATAAATAAAATTGAATTGAATTGAGTTGAATTGACTTATATGACAAAATCAAACTGAACAGAATATAATTGACAGAAATGACATAATATAAAAAACAGCAGAACAAGTTTAATATCCATGACATTAAAGGTTTTAATAGACTGGTATGTCTGCGCTGTGGAAGGACGTACCATGTCCAGCAGCTGGATGCTGAGATGGCCTGCGGTGTCCTCGCTGCGCTCAGCTCGCTGCTTTTGGGCACGTGCAGCTCGTTTCAGAGCCTCTCGGTCTGCGCCTGCCTGCTGCTTTAGTGTCACCAGCTGATCTGTCAGATGTTTTATCTCCACCTTCTGCCGATTGGCTGCTTTTTCCAGGTTCTGTACCAATGGCAGAGGATAACAGACGCATAGATAAAGATATACTGAAAAAAACATGTCTGACTACAATACAAACAACTGGACAAATATAGATTGCAATAAATATATATTCTCCAGGGTGTGTGTTCACTGACTATCATTTCTTTCCATCCATCCATCCATCATTATTATACACAGCACCAAAAAGAGCAACAGATGGCAGAAGATACCACACAAACCTTTATCTGCACAGTGAGGCGACTGTTCTCAGCGTCTTTGCTCCGGAGCTGTCCTTGTAAATGAGCTCGTGTTGACTCCAGGCTCTTTGAAAAAACAGCTGTGCTCCTGGTATTGTTCTGCATTTCCAAAGCCAGCAGAAGATACTTGTTTTGTGCTTTGACATTTGTTAGTTCTAAGATTATATGATATGAGTAATGCTGCAGTGAAAGAATGCCGTATGGAAAATTTCAGATGAAGAGAGTTCTAAATAAGACAGCCACCTTTTCATCATCTAAGAGCTTGGCAAGTCGATTAACCTCTCGGTCTTTCTCTTGAAGTTTAACAACAAGATGCTGTAAAAGGAAAGAAAACATATTATTTCTGACACAAAAAAAGAAACAACACAAAATGGATGTATTTTGTGAGGTTACTTAAACAAAAAGAATTTGTAGTTTCTATTAAACTCACGGCATTTTCAGCTTCGGTGTCTGCCAGTTTCTTGAGTAATTCGTCCTTCCTTGACAGCTGGAGTGACTCCATCTGCTTTAAACCATCCACACGTATAAAACTTCACCAGTTTCTTTAACAAGCATTTACTGCATCTACAAAAGTGTTAAGAGACCAACCAAGGCTAAATATTGTGACAGAATATAATCAACTTACTAAGTAAGGATTCATTTATTTGAAAATTACAACAGATCTGCACCATACTGGCAAATCTAGCTTCCTACCAAAACTACGACTGCGACATGCCCCCTTCTCTCACTCTGTTTCTCTTCACTGAGGTTTCCTTGTGTTGTTTTCATGTGAAAAAATACTGTCCCAGAAACAGTTCAATATAAAGGCAGCATGAGTTCCTGTGTATTTTGTGCTATTGTAAATTGGCAGTTGGATTAGACTGAGGTTACGGTTCATTCATTGGACCCTGCTTGCATGAAATGGATCATCAACACAGTCCTGCAACCATTTACACTGGAGCTTAAGGCGCAATAGGCTCTCTTTAGATTTCTCCAAATGATCTGTGCTGTAAATCAAAAAATCATCTTGCACAGTACCTGAGATTCATGCTGCTCTCTGAGAAGCTTCCGCAGTGTTCGGTTTGTGACCTCAAATGTCTCCAGTTTCTGCAGCAGCAGCTCGTTCTGACAGGCCAAGGCTGAAGACTCAGAGCCAAATGGCTTCTTCAGCAGCAAAGACACAGACAGAGATAGAAACACTGCATCACGAAACACTGAGAAAGCCTCCTGTTTCTTTCTAAAGTTCCCATGTTCCCCTAGTCTCACAGGACACATTGAAAGAGCAGACCCTGAGGTAATACTCACATTGCTACCAGGAGCGCACAGATTGAAAATGGACTCTCGCAGGGCGGAGGCTTGCTTTGCAGCTGCTGCTCCATTCACCTCAGCCTCCATCAGCATCCTGAGTAAAGCATCTTTGTCCTGATGCCCACTGTCACTGCGTAGGAACAAACAGACCTTAAATCACAAACATACTACTACTCGAACATGAGTTTCATAAACGTCATACTCTGAAATGACTGTCCCACCTTTATGTCACATACGCTAACAGGTAGTATAGTTGAAATGCAGTTGAATCAAGCTATTTTCTTTCAGTTGCCTATAGTATAATTAACCACCCAGATCTCTAAGCCCTTAGAAAATGAGGGCAAAGAGAGGCTGTTTGTCACGTGAAGGGTTGGGAATGAGTTTGGGATCACATTTGCCTGTTACAGTCATTCTCCTCCAGCATCTTCTCCATGGAAAGCCGTAACCTGGTGTTTTCCTTCTCCGTCTCCTCCAGCTCTTTGGTCACCTCAGCCAGCTCCTCTTCCTGCTCAGCGATCACCCGCTGGGACACGCTCAGCTGCTTCGACTGACGCTCTAGCAACCGCTCCTTCTTTTGCATTTCTACCTGCACATATACCGGATAGGTATAAGTGAAAAAGGACATGTGGACCAACGCTTTAAGCACAGAAATCGACAAGAAAACCTCGCTGCTCTTTGTGATCATCAGATGTGGCAGTTTAAAATGAGGGCAAGTCTTTCAATGGGGTAAATGAACAGGTTATCTCCCTGCTATACTTATTACACGTGAGTGGCAAGACTGGAGAATTTTGACTAAATTAATACATTTCTACATTTAGATTTTACCATTCAATTTCCAGGAGTATTTAAAACAGTTTCCATGGAATAAACCCATTTATTGTCTGGGTGCCCTTAAATGGTTATGTAACAATAAATATGTAACAAGACTCGCCTTGAAAATCCCATGTAAGAAAAATAGAAATCAACAATGTTTATAACATAAGTACTACTAACAAACAAGTTATAATCTGAAATCTGTCTAATTAATAGTAAGGTTAGGGTTGTAGGTTGGACAGTTGCTTAATTCAAACTGACCTCATTTTTCAGCGAGCTGACTTCAGTCAATAAGTTGTCAATCTTCCTCGTGTACTGGCTGATTTGTCCATGTAGGCCTTCTTCCTCCTCTGATGCAAGGTCAGCTAACTGAAGTGCAGACTGCGAACTTTCAGGTTCTGGTTTCGGTGGTGTGATCTCAAGGTTGTGCGTTGGCCCCTTGGTGCAAAATATACCGTGACACTACATCTTTGATTGCGTGAGTGTTTTTAAAAAAATAGCAGAGTGGACTGGAAACTGAGAGAAGGTATTACCTCCCACTTATATGTGGCATCACGTATGGAGGTCTTTCCTGGCGTGATCCCCACACCTCGAGTTTTGACTTTAGCTGTGGGACGAAGGTCTGCTTTGTTGACTGCAGTCTTCCCCTTTAAAATACAGTGTGCTTATATTAATTGCATTTATTAGAATGGGCATGTACTATGGGCATGAGTGAGCAAACGGCTTACGATCAAGAGATTAGATTAGGAGAAACATTCACAATAAAACATGAACAACATCACAAGACAGACAGTCCACATACAAATATCTAACCTGAGGTGACCTGCCAGGACTCCTCTGGCTGTCCAGGTGCACGTGTACTGGCACGGTGTCATTGATGTGCACATGAATTGGAGGTGAATTTGAGCGTGTTCTCGTGATTTTCCTCTGTGGCACATGAGCTTAAGTAAGAATAAGCTTAATAGAACAGCATGTAGCTCAATAAAAAACAACAACAATATCTTAATAATTTGCGAATAAATACGACAGGATATGTTCGTTTGAGTGCACAAAATCCATAATTTTCTGTTAAGGTAAGTCAAAAACAGCTAGAAAAATTACTGGGTATTCTTTTACAAAAAGAATGTTATGGATATGATCCGACACAGATTCTGGATCCTGTCCACTCTGGTTACTCCCAATGAAAATCATCAACTGCCACCTCCAGCTCAACACACTCATTTCTCTTGTGCACTGCTTTCGATGTTTCTAAATGTTTCTACCTTTACTAACGCTGTTCCTTGCATGTTCACCTTTCCACCTCATCTACTGTCTGGATTCTAGTGACGCTCGTGCCTCTTCTCTCCAGAACATGCCTCCACTTCTCCAGTCTATTCCACCTATTGTTGAAGCTGAGGAGGGGTTCATCAGCTTTACCCCTCTGTAGTTACTAGTGCTCCGCACATCTGTCAAGACGTCCGCTACTCTGTCTCCCAGACATCTCTATACCTGCACAGGTATGTCATCTGGACGGACTCTTCATCATCTTCACAGCTCCCCTCACTTTCAGATTCCCTAACTTTCCTCATCAATCCTCGTCTCTCTCGTTTTCTTCATTCATCAGCTCCTCAAAGAACGTCTTCAATTTCCTCAACACACTTTCTTCTTAGCACATTTCTGTCCTTCATCAACCTCTCCTGTTTCACATCCTTTCCAGCTTAATCACACAGGTTGGTCCTTTTTTCCTTCCTTAGGAGGAGAAAGGTGCTGTCCTATGTACACAGTACTTGGACAGCTTGAATCCAAATACAGTGCCCCTGGCCTTGCTTCCATCTGTTCTCCTGCACACGCAATACTCTAAGTATCGCTCTAAGACTCTACCTTCTTCCTCCTCTCCATCATATCAGCCAACTCTTTTGCCTTGTACCAGACATAGTTCCTATATTTCAAAACAGTTCCTCTGCAAACACCTCTGCACTCCTGCCTTTCCTCACATCAAACTTGCCTTCCCTCTTTCCTCCTAGGCACAGTTTCCACCTTAACTCTTTGGTCAATCAACACCTATCAACATCTATCATTCACTCCGTCACCGACAAATCCGATCCTCATTCTTGTATTTGATGTCTGATTAGAAAAAGACTTTTGGCTGACGCCCCATTTATTAATGTATAACCAAAGAGTACACTTCATATCGACATTGTTTTAAACAGTTGGCGAAGTTGTCATGAGGTCACTATTCCTTCCCATCACATTAACTTCAAACCTTCACGGCAGCATTTTTAGGATGTGTATAGTAAACGAACAAGTCAGGAATCTTACCATAGGAGAAACCGTAAAAATACACCCCCCAAAATAGAAATATAACTCATTGGCAAAGCACCATTTAATGCTTCGAGAGGAGTTGGATTGGAGTCAACGCCAACAGACAAAGCTTCTTTCTGGTTGGTCACTTTAAAGCACGTGACGTCTTTCTCAAACAGAGATTGGAGCAGAGTCGACGACGTTACGTCACTTAGCAACACACTTAACAAGCTACCAAAGAGAATAGCTGAATGAAGATGAACCTCCCCCACTAGGTCAATTCCATTTTCTAAAGTAAGCTCACCACTCAGCAGCCATCTTGAAACTCACTCGGACTCTTACTTTGAATCATCAGAGGAACAAGAAGCAGTCAAATGCGGTAAAGCAGGTGAAGTGTTTTTCTTCTGCCATCATCTTTGCTGTCGCGAATCTCACGTTTCTGTTAATGCAATATATGCTAAATGACAGAAAAGGAAAACAAAAATATACATGAGTACATCGTTGTCTTCCTTCTCTCACCCCAACTGGTCCCGGATTACGGCCCCTCCCTGAGCCTGGTTCTGCCGGAGGTTTCTTCCTATTAAAAGGGAGTTTTTCGTTCCCACTGTCGCCAGAGTGCTTGCTCATAGGGGGTCGTATGATTGTTGGGGGGGTTTTCTTTGTATTATTATAGGGTGCACTTTACAATATAAAGCGCCTTCAGGCAACTGTGATTTGGCGCTGTATAAATAAAACTGAATTGAACTGTTGTTTGTTTGGGAGGAATTAAGTTCAGTGTAGTTGAGCAGTACCCCAGCAGTAGCATTAAAGGACCACATATTTACATTTCACTCACCTCAAAATCCTTCTATTTAAAAATTGTTATAATTTATTTATTTTAACTAGAGCTGCAGCTTCTCTCAGTGGCTGGGGGTTAAGTGATCAGGATATGGCCCAAGACTTGTATGTTCCATAACTTTGTAGATGGAAAAATATTCAACTACAGGAATAAGACAAATGAAAAAAAGTGTCTACCACATATGTTTCGATTCTACGTTGTTTGTTATATGTAGAGATGACTTATTCCTTGAGTTAGATCCTTTTTCTGTGCTTGCATGATTCATACGAATAAATAGCAGCCAGTGCCCAAAGAAAATCTTTGAAAGATATTTGAAATCTTTGAACCTCAAAACACATCTGTTGAGTGTATCAGCTAATGGGCTGCTTTTAGATTTAAGGTGCTACTCAGGCACACTAGCCTTTTTCCCCCCCACACTACAACACAGCTAAAGGCTTGCTTTACAAACGGGTAAAGCTGATTGTATCACAGAACTCTTTAAACACAAACAACATACAACAATAAAGAAACATACACACATCATCTCTGTTGTGACACAGGACACTCCTTTAATGAAGCCAAATATTGTTTTCATTATTGGCTCCATCACAGAGGGGGAAAAAAGCAACATCTGATACAATAACTGATTTTAATCATTGTTAAGATGGGAACATGAGAATACACCAGTCTTTGGCACCTCCTACTCTAAACAAACATGCTGCTTACAGATAAACATCTGTTCTTTTTTCTTTTTTTTTAAAGAAATATTAAAAATACATTTGACATTTTGACACTGATAATCACAGGCATGTGACACATGTGGGTATAAAGGACGGGTGCTCCCATCTTTTGGACAATTTTACAAGTAGAAAACAGTAGAAAGGACCCCTGCACATCTGGGGAAGAAATCAGAATTGATCAGTTGGCAGTTATTTGTGACGTGCGTTAGCAGGTTGCTGACGTGGAGTTGGGGCTTTGTGCGTCCATGTCAAAAACAAGTTTATTTCTTGTGCTCTGTTGGATTCTAATACTGCCTAGGCAGATTTCACCCCCATAGCTGGCCTTCAAAAATCACAGCATCTTCTGTGCATTTTCACTTTGATTACTTTGAAATGGACTGAATTGGCATGATTGCAACAAAAATATAAATATATGACCGTGTGAATTCTGGAAAATAAAAGAGTGAAACTTTTCAAAATAAGGCAAATTTATGTCACAAAACGCTGAACATTTGTAGTCCTTGAACACCCAACATGTCAGATAATTATGACAGGAATAGCAACATGACAGCAGAAGAATAATAAAAAGTCTTTTGTGGTTTGGACAGAGTTGGATTTCAGGGTTTAGATTTCCATTTTAGTTTACAGCAGTGATATCCTCTGTATAATCCTGCAGATTACACATTCTGATAAATTCATTGCAGTAATGAACAACAACATAACACACAACATATTAAATTTTGTGTCAAATGCAGAAGCAGCGTGTGAAAAAGTAGGCACACTTTAACTGCTTCAAAAGGAATTAAGGTGGCAAGCAGCAGCCAGGCACTGCTAATCAAATCCACTTGATTATCTGATCATCAGCAAGTGTGAGCACCTCCATATAAGCTCAGGTTTAGGTAGTTTGCTGCTCCTGAGCATTCAGGTGTGTTAACACAACGCCAAAGAGCAAAGACATCAACAACGATCTTTAATAAGAAAATGTTGCTGCCCATCAACCTGGCAAGTGTTAAATGGCCATTTCCAAACAATCTGTTGTCCACTGTTTGACGGATTATTCACAAGTGGAAAACATTCAAGACATGTGTCAATCTTTCAAACACTGCAACAAACCCAAGAGCTCCATTTCACAACACCAGCACAAACACCTCAGACCAACTGTCAGCACGGTGGTGGAGCGATGATGATTTGGGCACCTTGCGGTCACTGAGTGGAGCATGAACTGCTCTGTATACCAAAATGTTCAAGATTTAAATGTGAAGCCATCTGTCTGACAGTTAAAGCCTGGATGAAATTGGGTCATCAACAGGACATTAACCCTAAACACAGCAGCTAATCTATAACAGAATAACTGAAAAAAGTCAAAGTCCAGACCTCAACCTGACTAAAATGCTGTGATGGGACTTTCTGATTACTTTGAGTTATTGTTGTTAAACGTGGTTCTACGAGTTTCTGAATCATAGGGGGTACTTAGCTTGTAACACACACTGCTTTTACATTTCGACTTGCAGTGTATAATGTGTCATTTGTTTTTGTTCATTGCTAGTAGTATTTAAATCCTCCTAAAAACACCGACCAAAGGATGTAAAGCATGTACTGTGACAGTCTCTCGTTTGCGCAGTGATGTTTCCCACACGAGTCATCTTGGTCATATTATGCCTGTAAAAGTTCCATCAGTCTCACAGAATCCACCTTCTTAGTAATTTGTTTGCACAACTTGCAACATGTTGTTTGCATAATTGTATAATCTGTAAATATTTCATTCTCACAAGCTACCTTATTTAATCAAATTCATACATATCATACAAGATGAGCTTGTTAATATTTTGTTCACAGAAGCTATTTTAGTGATACAATTTTAGTACCTTGTTTACACAACTTGACATTTTATTTAACATAGCTGTTTATTTTGCGTGAACTACTAATGGGTTTTTTGTTCTATTGTTTAAAAATAAAATAAAATTGTGCAGTGAATTTACCTCGAGAATATTGCACCAAAAAACATTTTAACAATCTAGTCTTCACATAGCCATTAAATCATGTGACTCACGACCCATTTCCATCATACAGAATGTTATAAACATGTTATCGCACCATGCTTCATACGCTGCTGGGTAGAGTAGTATAAAATTGACTGCAACATGAACCCCCCCCCCCAAAAAAAAAACAAGTTTCAGGAAACATCTGTGAGAGGCAACTTTAAATAATACACACTGTTTGCATCAATGATCCAAGTGCTGCTACATAACAAATGTTGCATTTGTGGTGATGTTTTGAACATGAACAACAGAAACAGAAGTTCCACAAACGGTTAACAGAAGCTCAAAGTTACGTTCTTCGTTTCTTTTATTTATCAGGTTTCGTCGTTATAATTCCGATGAAGGGGCAGCAGCAGTTTGTGTTTGGGGTTATTTTCCAATAGAAAAATGCTAATTTTGTGTCAGCAGGCCAAAGTGTTGAACCTTTTCAGAGATCTTTTGAGCTCTGAGAACTGAATGTACAGTAAGAAGTTATAACAACACAGAAACAAGACTTTTGGAATAGTACCTGACAAATTTGTCAGTATGCAGTGTTTGAGGATTTACTGTGTACCATTGATACAAAGTGTTAGAAAACATCATTGGTATTGCAATCCTCACCAACAGCATTACGTTTGAGCACCACAGAAATCTTTCTCATTCTTTTTCACACATGTAAATGACATGTTATTGCTGCCTACTTAATACAGCCAACTGCTATTAAAAACATGACAAAAGATGAAAAGTTTAAAATCAGTGACCCACGTAACTTTTACTCTTCAAGAGAAAGAAGGTCACCAGTGTGTAGGGCTGGTATGAAGAACAACAACATGAAAGTATTTTTCAATTTCTGGACTAAAGAACAACTAACAAGATCAGAAGAACATTAAATCTCATAAAGTGCAAGCCTACAATATTTTAAATGTCATAACTGTCAATACAGGAAACACATTACGGTAAAAAGAAAAGAAAATGTAGAAACAGCTGACTTCCATAGACAAATGTAACACTGAGAAAACACTCGTCCTCTGCCTCTCTTCACATCCTCGGAAAGCTGGAATGTAACTAGAGAAAAATGGTCAAAGAACAAACTGGCCTCTTTACCATGTTGCTCCTCCTCGCTTTAACTTCATATTTCATTATGGATTACATAGTCTTGCAAAATACTGAACAAACACATCTCTGCGCAACACTATTATACATCATGTGTGCACACTCCAATGGTGGCAATAACAAAAAAATCAACACTAAAAAGTCAAATGTCATTTCAACCAGCTGCTTCTTGCATTGCTGTATCATTCCAACATTTCAACAAGTGCAGTTAAATTTCAGCAGCCATGTGCAGTCACTTTCCCCTGCTGCTGCCAGGAATAAATCGACAGCAGTTCCTGATAAACCTTTGGACCTTTTACATCTGCCCCACTACATTAAAGATATGAGGCATGCATATTAGCCAATGCAATACTGAAAGCTTGAATATAAAGACAATTTTTCTTTTTAGCTAATACCTCTTAGACGTTAGAGGTTTCAATGGAACTGGTTGGTGATGTTATATACTATATATATATACACACACACTTCTATTCACAAATAATCACATAAAAAGACCAAATCAACAATGAATGCATTTCAGTGTGACCAAAAACATCAAACGTTTTCTCTAAAAGACAATTAAATAATCAAACAAAGAAAGCTACCAATAAGTTGGAGGTAAAATTGAGCTAAAATTCCTCCAAGCCTCTGTGAGAGACAGATTGTGAATTGAGAATTAAACATTTAATGGCAAATGGGAGGCGGTTTTCCACTGCAGGAACTCGCAGGCTGGTCTAGTGCAGCCTTCTCTTTAGTATTCATTCTGAACTGCTACAGTTTCCAGGATCGCTAACAAACCTACTGCATTAGCAGCCCTTACAACCTACTGGGGACTCACTCACTGGATAAACTCTAAGATTTCAACAACAAAAGCCAAAGTCTATACGTAGCAGTCTAATGCTTTTAAAGCACAAACAAATGTGCAAAATTTGCAACAGACACTAATATAACTGATCGCAGATATGTCAAATTGCTCTTTTTTATACCTTTATGTATGCTTTTATGAAGTTTTAGTACTGTGCTATGCAAGTTCTCATATGGATTTGATATTAATGTAGTTTGGACCCCACTAAGATTAGCTTTCCTTTAAGACACAGCTAATAGGGATTCTAATATCCATCTATGGGTCTAGGATTTGAAGGCTGTAGTTTTGGCAGAGATTGCAGGGAAGCTCGACCCTCCAGCGGGTCCTGGGACTGTCATGGTTTTTTCTCCCTGTAAGACGTGCACCTCACCTAGCAGGCATCTAGTCAAATGCTGGAACAACTTCACGTGGTTCCTTTCGATGTGGAGGAGCAGAAGCCATACTCTGAGGCTCTTCTGACTGACTCATTCGTTGCACATTGCATTGATCACTTAGGTGAGCCTCTAATGTATTTAATACCAGGTCATTTGTCAATCAACAGTATTCTTCATTCTCATTGGTGGTCATTTAAGTTGCTCACCTGGAAGTTGCGTCGCCAGCATTTTTTTCGCCCATAGTCACTAAATACTGTTCACTTTCTGTGGTTTCTCATTGATATGTTCCAGTGTGAATGCGGGTTATCGCCACGAGACACTAGAGTTGGTTCAAAGGAAGTCACTCCCTGCAGCTTAGGGCCACAAGCAAGGGTAGAAACAAAGCTCATCCAGAAAGCCATAAGTTTTGCTTTTAGGATCCTGATAAATTGGCATTCATAGTAAACTTTTGGGGCAGCCCTGAATTCCTGCGGTGCAAAGTTGCCTGGAACCATCTTTGAGCTTAAAGGAGTAAAAGCCACCAGCCAGTATGGTGACAGCAATGACTTAAGGACATAGCGAGAGGAGCACGACTGGTATTTCTTGTGCTTTATAAGAAAGCAGCTAAGGATGTTCTGATTAGGTGGCAGGCCACACGTTAATGCTGTCATCATGAAGATAACAGGTGCCTAGCCTTTTCAGTAATAAAAGTAACGATCTGTGTTATCAGAAAGCACAACAATTTGAACCTCTGACAGGTCACCACCTCTCCCACCTCTCACTAGATTGTCTTCACCGATTGACTAACTAAACTGTACAGGCCCATGCAACACATGCACTACTTCCCTTTACTTTCTCATTCCAAGTCATCTGAACATCTACAATTTCTTTTGTGTGGTGGAGCATCCTCTTTGGAGCACACTAACTGACACACGTCTTTGCCTTTTTTAGCATGCAAGTACAGCACAGTGAAATGGGAAATGAAGCACTATCACGTCACACAAGGCTGAAAAAAAAAAGTCTCCGAATTAGTTTGTTAATGATATGAAAGCGACTAACTCACAACATGTGGCGAAACAAAACCTCATGCACCTTTAGCGTGCTGCAAGTTGATACACCAAGCGCTGTTTGGCAAACACAAAACTCCAGCACTAATAATATTTTTGGTGAATAATGTGCTCATATAATAACTGTTACATTTCCTGATGCATTTTTAGCTCTACCATGCTTGTCTTTTTTACAGGTGGATCAAAAACCACATGAAAGCTGCCAAGAATGTTTCCTTTCTTTGTTCCTTTACGTTAATAAATGATGAAAAATCTTTTTACAACAAACTACCAAGGCTGTTATCATCTTGATGATAGTCTGCTGTCGTGAAAAAAGTTAGAAGCTGATAAACAAGAACTAGTAAGCTGAACAGTAATGTGGAGCGTCTCATTTGTTTTACTCTTATGTTGCTCATATTTACCAGGCAAGCCAATGAGAGTCAAAATGGGGAATTTATGAGAAGAAACTATGTGAACATCTTTCTGTTGCATGACATTAACACTTACATGGAGGACATGAACTTGCATGTTGGGTTTTTTTTTTTTCATTACCTGTTAAAAAACAAAATGACCATGAGGGCTTTGGCAGTGGAGTCTGTATTTACATATACGCCATACTGCCCTGTGTGAAGATGTTAGTAGGCTTCCAGTGAATCATCCCAAAATAAGCTCTGCACGTCCAGCATGGTCGCCAGCTCCAAAATATGCTTCTGTAGAAGGCTGCTCTCCACTGTGTCCTGTTTGGGGAGCTCTGGATAGGATTCCGGGAAACTCTGAGATTCCTGCAAGCACACAAACATCCAAATTGTGTTTTAGCTACCTGACAAAAATACTTTGGTGGTCACTGAAGGGTTCTCACTCTAAAGTGAGAATCAAAGGTTTAAGCGTTAAGAAGAGCTTCCTTCATTTACGAGGAATTTAAAAAAATACATGATTTAAATAGCATTTAAACACAATGAGAAGGTTAAAAAATTATTGTATGCAGGTAAACTATTATAAAATGTAAAAAAATAGCAGTTTATTTTGAAAGTCATCTGTTAGTCTCATTTATTAATATTATTTATTATTGCCCCCATAATAACATAAGTGTTTTTTATTGAGTTACTCGATGGAATAATTAATATTAAAATATTGATTATTAAAATAATCAATAACTGTAAACCTGTAATAATCTGGGGACTTTAGTGGGTTCATTTACTGAGTATTTGCTGACATGACATGACATGACCTCCTGATGATGCATAAATACGACTTACTGCAAGTGCTTAAGAAACACTGGTTTGTGGAAATGCATGGTGCATCGTTGGCATATAAACTTAAACAATGTGGCTCCTTAAGGAAAGCAGACTTACCCGAAAGAGTTTATGCAGTCTCAGTGCAGCGGAGCAGAACACAAAGCGGATCAACAGCAGCCGCAGGAACTCGTCACCAAAGAACTGCAAAAAGGCTTGATCTGCATTAAACAATGTGTAAATAAGTCGATCAACAGAAGATGAATGTATCACAATTTATTTCAGTGCAGCCTTAAATCCACCATAGATTTAAACTTCTCAAGAAAGAGAGAAGTTTATTTTCATGGAGGGACCTACAAAGCTCACCTGATGGTCACAAATACAGTACACATGGGTCGTCACAGTAACCCTTTCATAGTCCATGCTAATCTCCATAACATACCTATGGTCCGCGATCGTGTTAGCATCTGCCCAATGTCACGGTACACTTTGTGAAGGAATTCTTGAGCTCTTTCCCAAAGACCTCGTTGCACACTGTTTAAGCCACACACGGAGGAGAAAGCCAAGAGCGGACTGTAGAGGAACAGAGTGAAGAGACTCCCACGCTGAGACTGATCTAAACAGGTGAAGCAGAGACATTGTAAACTGAAAGGAAATTCGATGCCTGAAAAGCTTCCACTGAAAGCAGCATCTTTACCAAACATAAAAATACTGGTAGATACCAATGACACCCATGTTAAATGTGGATTAATCAGCTGCTACAAACAGTCCAGAATTTACTTTTGTCTAACTAACATTAGACTAAAAGCCTCTTTCTCTTTCAACCAAAACACTCAGACAGCGGAGCCACAGAGAGGAAGTTAGGCAAACAGACGAAGATGGAGTTCGTTTAGGTCTTCTGGTTAAAGGAGTGTGGTTCTGCAGTGACACCCACCTTGTACACTCTTGGGATATACCGTAGGTGATAGTAGGCACACCAGGGGCTGGCCAAATAGATTTGTAAAATTCTAATAAAACAAAGACAGAAACAAGCATTTTAATTATGGAAATATACTTACAAACAACAGTGGCACGTTTGATATATCTGCTGTGGACATTAGTGACATTTTTATCTTGAAGACAGATTGAGGGACATCCATACAAAAGCTGAACGTCTGACACAAACTTGTGCTGTGTGATGTGAACAGAGGTGAGCATCTGCTCAATTTATAAATATTTCGACTTTGGCAAAAAATTTGCTTCACATTTGGTCAGGAAACCCATGAGCAGATTCTCTCATACACCTTCATTCTCAGCATCCCTCTCTCCCCTTTAACAGTAATATCCCCTACATTTTAATTCCCTACTCTTACCTCGTCTAAAACTAAGAAACACTGAAATATTAATTTAAATTTATGTATGTAAATCTACGTAAGATGAGACAAGATGTTCATTACTAAAATGTAACAAATGAATAACTAAAAAACTATTCAAATGTGATTAAAGTGTGGCACATTGAGCCATGCTTTATGAATGATGCACGCACCATGACAACCACTTCAATAACAGTTCAAATCTAAAATAACAAAACAACAAGTTATGCAGCCATTTTTTTCCACGCTTATCTGAAGTCGGCTCGTGGAGGGAGGAGCAGAGAAGTCCTGCCTCCACGATCCGCCACCTCCTCCAACTTATCCTGGGAAACATTGAGCCATCTCTCCAAGTGTGTCCCAGGTATACACTGGGGCCTCCTCCTAGTAGGACGTGCCCGTCTGAACACCTTGTCAAGGAGGCGACAGCTTTAGCCGTCACCCTATCGCTAAGAGAGAGGCCATCGACCTTTTGGAGCACCAATTAAAATGTAACAATTAGATTAAACCACTAGTAACTCTGGTACTGACTAGTGACAACAGTGTTGATTAGTCTGCTAGGACACAATATGTGCACATCCCTGGAAACTCATGAATATTCGCCCCTAACATTCTACAAAAGGAATACAATTTATAAAGATTGAAAATTACCATAAATTATTTTCTCTTGCCGTCTTGGTCCAACTGCTCTCACTTTCCCCCCCATCTCTACATAAAAGTCAAGTTTAATCCTACAGCTACATATGGCCTCAACCTGCATCAATAAGGTTGCCCTACATATTAGAGTCTTGCATTAGGAGAATACGCAGTCTATGAGAGAATTCCAGCTGAGGCGTCTTTATATTGCACCACAAAGCAACTTTTTTGCCAAAGAACCGGAGAATTACTGATCTTTTCATATTGGACAACACAAGCTTTTGTCAGTTCACCTCTTTCCAAAAGACTGTGGATGTAAACTTCACGTTGCATTTTGTTTGAACACACTAGTAGTGATGCAATGTGGCGGTATCCAAACAGATAAAACTATTCTCAACTTTGAGGCGAGTACTTGTTACTAATGGAGTGAAGAAAACTATTAATTGACATAAGATAGGGTGTTTGTTCATGCAATTTATGAAGGAGGCATGAGAAAGACCTAACAAACATTTTCAGTTACAGGTTTCAAGTTGGCCCTGTCTAGGGCTGGGCCATATTATAC